GCATCTCCACCCAAAATGAGGAGAGACCCCCGTGTCCCCTCGGCCATGGCGTTGGCTGTGCTGGTGCTGGGAGGGTCCCATCCCATCGCCTGACCCATCACCATGGGAAAGCACAAAGCATCCCCCCCACACCAAGGGGTGGATTTGGGATGCGAGACCTCCAAACCCTCCCTGGTCCAGCACCTCACTCTTGAGATGGAGCCGGTTGATGGTGGCACTGCCTTCTAATGCGCCTCATTTCCATAGTTCTGGGCTGAAATCGACACATTTGCATTTAAATGGAGGTTTGGGCGTCTGTAAATTCCCATTTTCAAAGCGAGATGGCTTAATGGTGGTTTAATCACTTTGGGATGAGGCCCCTGGAGCATCTCCAATCCTGCGAGGAGGAGGAGGAGGAGGAGGAGGAGGAGGAGGAGGACAAGGAGGACAAGGAGCATCTGTGCTGCGTGCCCTGGGGGGGGGGGAAACTGAGTCACACGGATTTCCTTAAAAAAAATAAAGATTCCCCCAGAAATTAAAGGTTCTCTCCTCGCCCAGGGAGGTGCAATGGGCTGGAGCAGTGAAAGCGCTCGGGAAGGGAGCAGGGTGTGGGCAGCTGGTCCGAAGGGATCCGGATGCTTGGATGCTGCTGATGTGGGATGAAAGCGAAGCCACCGGTCCTCCTCCATCCCAGTCTGTCCCCGCGTTGCTGCCAGCTCGATTTATTGCAGAGAAGAAGAACCTCCTGAGCCCGCCGCGTGTTTGCTCAGCTCCTTTGAGGCTGGGAAATCGCTGGCGGTGAGGTTGGCAACGGAGCATGGTAGGCACTGAAGCTGCTTAATAATAATTAATCATAATGGTAATAATAATGCTTAACACTCAGACGGGGCTTTGGCAAGATGAAGCGCTGCACGGCTGCTGGCTAATCCTCTAGGATTAAGAATTTCTGGAGGAAAAGGTGGGGAGTGCCCCATCCCCGGGCTCCTCTCCCCTGCTATCCGCTCCCCAGGGATCCCTGATGCTCTCGGGGCACCATGGGGAGGGAAAGCAGCTGGGAAAACCGCGGGCATCCCTCAGCACCAGGCAGGATTGGGGCAAAACCACCTGGTTTTTGCAAAGAGCCATCCCGCAGCAGGATTAACGCTGTACTGGGATGCGCCCGGCGGCACAGGGAACAGAGGGGACCTGGGCGGACCGCACCGTTATCTGTTTCCATGGTGACAACTAGCCAAGAGGGATGGGGATGATGGCAGGGACCGAACACAGGCAAAACTGGGCTGGTGCTGCTGTGCCGGCGCTGGCTGACGGGATGTGTGCTGCCCGCTCATGTGTGAGCACTGACATTTTGGGTCGGGAGCCGCCTGTCACTAGCGATTGACTGTCCAGCCCGGGACAAGTGCCATGCGTGGCGTCCGTCTTCCAGCAACGCCGACTTGCTCCAACCAAGGTCCTGGGGTATAAGGTCAGTGATCCGCGGCTTTTGGGCTTCACGTGTAGGATTTGTCCCCAGTGTCCCTTATGCTGGGGACATGTGAGGTCCCTACCCTGGGGAGCTGAGACCTGGAGCAGCTCGGTGCAGGGGGGATGGTGGAAATGGATTTTTTTTTCCAGGGGCAATCTGTCTCTTGTGTCATAGACAACCCCCCCCCCAAGACTTTGCAAAGCCTCTGGGTACCCCAAAATGGTTCTGGGTATCCCAGCATAAGGCAAACATTAAGCACAGCCTTCTACCAGGGGAGATTTTTCTTTTTTTTCCTTTTAATTAAATTGTCTGAGGAAGCCAAGACACGGACAGAAAGAGAGACTGTAAATAGTATAGAAAAAAAAAAAAAAGAGAGCGAGAGAACCGATTGACGGAGATGTAAATGCCGGGTGGAGCCGTACAGAGGAAGAGGAGGAGGAGGAAGAGGCAGGCGAAGCTTCACGTTAGCTCCAGGATCACTGTTAGGGTGAGTGCCAAAACTAGTCTGAAGCCGCGGCGGCTGGGAAGTGAACCTAGGCGGGAGGAGAAAAGGGATGGGGAGGTGAGGGAGCCGCGTCCTGCTGCTCGGGTTCAAAGCAGGATGCGGTCACCCCCTTTTTTGGGGGGATGATCCTCTTGTAAGGATGTAAGGAGGGATGGCCAAGGGCTTGGGGTGATGCAAGAAGTGGGTTTAGGGTGATGTAAGGAGGGATGGCCAAGGGCTTGGGGTGATGGAAGAAGTGATGGCCAAGGGTTTGGGGTGGTGTAAGGAGAGATGGCCGAGGGCTCGGAGTGGTGTAAGGAGAGATGATCAAGGGTTTAGGGTGATGTAAGGAGGGATGGCCAAGGGCTTGGGGTGATGGAAGAAGTGATGTCCAAGGGCTTGGGGCAATGCAGGGAGATGGCCAAGGGCTTGGGGTGATGTAAGGAGAGATGGTTGAGGGCTTGGGGTGGTGTAATGAGATGGCCAAAGGTCTGGGGTGATGCAGGGAGAGATGCTCACTGGCCTCCTTGGGGGGTTTTGGGTCAAAATACCAGTCCCACCACCACTCACCATTGGAGTCCTCTGTTCCTCTGGGAATATTTGGGTTTTCTAGTGGGAAGGAAACAGCAGAGAGGCAGTTTTACTGGGGGGGGTGGAGATGAGTGAGGATTTGTGGAGGGAGGGGTGACCCCCGTGGTGCTGCCCTACCGAAAACGATGAGCCGGGTGTGGGTGTCGGTGGAGCCCAGGGGGTTCTGGGCAGTGCAGCGATACATGGAGCCGTTGAGCTCGGCCGGGACCCGCTCCAGCACCAGCTCTCCATCGTGTTCGGCGCTGCCATCGAGAAGCCGGCTCCCCACCCGCGTCCAGGTGAAGAGGGGCTCGGGGAAGACTTCATTCTGTGGGGAGATGGGGGGCTGTGAGATGGGTGTAGGGGGTGAGTAAGCCCTGCCTCGTGCCTGGAGCAAGGACAGGGTACAGCCAAAACACCCAGGGGTCCACCAATGTAGGGATCATGATGCAACCCAAGGCCACCAAGCCAACCCCGTAACGTGCTGCTGTGGGTGCCAGGTTGTCCGTTGGCCTGGAATCCATGGGGATGGGTGAGGCTGCTGACCTGGAAACCCTGCACCAAGATCCGCACGGTGTCTCCAACGCGGGCTCTCGTGGGGGTCATCGTGATCTTCGGGCCCTTGGGAGCAACTGCAAAGGAAGGGGACAAGAAGGGACATCAGCCGAGTGAGGTGTTCCCGGTGCTGGTGAGTGCCCTTGGCTGGGGTTAATGGTGGTTTGATGAACGATTGTGGCGAGGGGGGGGGACAGCGTTTTTTTTCGGCTGGGTGATTGATGGACAGGCTGACAGATGTCCAAATGATTGATGGACAGGTAGGTAAGGACCCCACAGGCGGCTGAACAGGAAGATGGCGAGATTGATGGCTGGCTGTAAGAAGAGGCACTGATGGACAAGGATGTATTTCCTAACTGAGCTGCACCCCCCCCCAGCCCAGAAATGGGGTTCAAGGGGGTCAGGTTGGGTTGATGCTTGGAGATAAGCACCTCAGGAAAGTGTCCCCAGGACAAGGTGGCCTCGGTGAGCCATGCAAGTGCTCTTAGCATGGGTGACAGCCACAAGACTTTGCAAGGACAGCCTTGTAAAGAGGAGGGACCCTTTTTCCCACGCCAAACTTGGGGTGCCCTTGCTTGGTGTGCTGGGAGAAGCAGTGATGCATCCAGCCATGGTGGGGTGACACCACGCCGGGTCTGCTCTTTGCTCTCAGTTGGGTTGGGGTTGCATGGGTGTCCCACCTGGGCCATGGGTGGGGGGACAGCCCCAGGATCCGCGTGGGCTTTGCAGGGAAGCCTTTTTCAGGCTTGAAGGGGAAAATGGGGAGGAGAGGGTTTGTGCGTTGCCAAAAGCGGGTGTCTCATCCTTTGTACATCCAAGAGCTTCCATGGATGGGACAAGCTGGGCCTAGATGTCACCCCAGCATAACACAAAGGGACAAAGAGCAGGGTGGTCTGCGGTGGTGGACACCGGCTCTTGGAAAGGGCATCCACACCCCGGGATGCTCCACACAGACACGTGCCAGAGCCAACAGTCGTGCACCTTGATTGCAAGACTCGGAGCAGGCGTGATGGGCTGCAGGTGACAACAACACACCATGGTCTGTACCAAAGGACAGCTCCCTGTGCTGAAGAAAGGGGCTTGTCTGGGTTTCAGTGCAGCTTTTATTGAGTATATATACAGTGTATGTCTAGTATTTATATATAGAATTATCTATATATAGGGATTCTGCGGGATCTGCTGTGACGGTGCCAAAAACCAGGGGTTGGATGGTGGTGGTGGTGGAGCGCCCAACGAGGTGCAAAGGCTGAAGGCATCTTAGGGGGTGAGGAGGTCTGTGGTTTTGGGGGGGCAGTGTAGGGTGAGCTTTGCTGTTACACGCATTGGAGCTACTGAGAACGAAGCAGCAACTCATCCAAGTCTTGGCCTCTTGTGGAGACCCAGAGAGTGGACACGGAAGCTGCAGAAGGTGTGAAAATGCAGGACTTGGGTTATTTTTTGGCTGGTTGTATGCTGGGAGAGAGCTTTAATGCTCAGTGGGGAGGAACAGATAATGGAGGGCCATTGATTAGCAAGAGAGCCGCTGCCCTCCTTGTTGACTGCCAACCTCCCGTTGACCTCCTCATTGCTGTCAACCGCCCACTAATTGAGCTGGTTGATGAGCTGAAGGAAAAAGAGGTGGAGCGCCAGCGTTGAGAGGCTTGTGCACACCGATGCCCATGCCAAAGATGGGTGGAAAGCCAACAAGGCGAAGCTCTCCAGGAGACAGTGCATCGCTGCCGACGCAGCGAGCCAAGTGCCCTACTTGGCCAGGAGCAAAGCCCAGTCTTCTCCACCCAGCTCAAGGGGAGGAAGGCTGGAGTAGCCTACCCAGGAGGGTGCCCCGAAGCTGGGGCAACCTTGGTGGAGAGCCCAGCCTCTTCTGATGGGGAACCAGGAGAAGAGAGGGGAGCCCCATCCTTATCTGGGGGCTAGTTGCCAGCCAACATGGGGCAGAAGTCAAGTGCCCCACTAACTACCCATTGTCACTTAGGGAGCTTCTGCTCTTCTAGGGTTCTGGGCATGCTGGGAGCCAACAGGGTGGCCCTGGCCTCAATCCCACCACCCTGTGACAGCTGGGGCCTCATCCAAACCCAACCGGGGCGCTTACCGAGCGTCACCTCGGACTGCATGGGCATGGAGAGCGCCGGGTGCTTCACCTCGCAGCTGAAGAGTGCCTCGTTGTCGATTTGGGGGTTCAGGGTCCAGGTGAGGGTGGCCCGCGCCTCCACTGTCCCATCGCTGACAGGTGCGTGCGTGTGACGGAAATAATAGATGGGCTCCGCCACGTGCACCCAGCGCGGGAATTCCCGGCTCACCACCGTTTCGGGGATGATTTCGGTGACGGGGGTCC